TGGCACTGCATTTAAAACCGACGAGTGCGTGTGGTGGTGGTGGTGGTGAACCAGCGTAAAAAAGTACCTGCATACCAATCAGGTGAGTTCAACCACGACGTACTGACGCCACAACAAGAGGTCCACATAGCTAACAAGACTTATACTTCAGATTCAAAAACTTCTAAATATTTTATTCCAGTTATTATTTCATTTTAACAGGTTTTTCACTGTGTTTTTATTTTTCAAACCCCAAACAATTCCATACTTATATTAGAAAAAAGTTTATTCATGTCACTGAGGCTTGAATGAGTGAATGTGATCAACGCAGCATTGAGTGAATCTTTATTCTCTTCTTTGTCCCAAACTGAAACCGATGTAACACAGCTACTGTTGTTTTGGTTTTTGGAGCGGGAACATCCCCCTGACACCCGGCATGCCCCCTCCTGTTCCAACTCCGGGTAGCTTCCAGGATCTAACGCTGTTAAACAAACAAAACCTCAACAGAAGGAGAGCAAAGGGCACAGAGCCACGTCTCACGTTCTAACACCCCGCTCGTGTTATCACAACCCGTTGCCACCATATTTATCTTTTCATTCAAGCAGTAATGGTTTTGCATGTTGGCTTTGCGGCCGCTGGTGATGGTTCTGGAATGTGTGTTTTAGTGGAGCCTGGTGTTTAAGCAGGCACACGTGGATTAAGCTCATCTAAACGCCTTCACTCAGCACACGGTATCATCTAACATGACATCAGAGGAATTAAGTCTGATCAAACAAAGTGACCACAATGGGAAGTTTTCGCTTTCAAAACCCCAAGCCTCGCTAAGCTCGACAGCAAACAGTGTGTTTGGATGAGAGCAGCAACGAGATGCTAAAACCCGCTTTTGTTAGTGACGTCGATTACTGTAAAGGACGAGTCCCGACCCAAAGTCGTCTGCAAAGAAAAAGAGATTAAATTGTTACTGCTCGCTGAAAACTGAAGCTATCTACATGAAGTTAAATCAGAGGTAAAACACGTATAATTTCCTATATTTTTAGTACAGAAATTGTTCGAAAATATTCATAAAATAAACGTTTTTTTAACCATTTAAAGATGGAAATATTAAGTAAAAATCATTAAAAAGCTATTTATTAGCTAATATTCTGATAATAACTATATTTGATGTTATTATGTAATCAAAGTGACAAAATAAGTAAATAAAATGATCTCTTCCCACCTGTAGACCCTCCCATCGTGTACAGCACAGCAAAGGTTTTTATGAAGGTAAAACCCTAAACCTCCACCTGACAGCCGTCATTAGTAACAATCTACCATGTGTGGTCGCCAAAAGACAAGACTTTACTTTTTTTTTTGGTTTAATCAAAAGTATTGCTGAATTTTCAGCAACATTTTAGAGTTTCAGATATGAACGTAAACAATAGTGAACATCTTGCTTATGACACACATTTCGTGGCAGACATTTTGGTTTTGTTTAGTCAGCAAACAGAATGCACAGCGACAGGAGTGGAACGCAGCCCGTGCTACCACACACGCTCTTTTCCCACTCTTGCAGGTGGATAATAATGTTTGTAACATAGGCCCGTTGTTGGGTTCATCAGCAGAAACTAGCTTGATCAGTGACTGCCATAATGTGTATTGCAATGGCTAAAAAACAAAATTCAGTTTATTTGGTGTGCTTTTAATTGAATAAACTATTTAACACTTTTAATATTGGTGCATTTCATTCCTTTGAACTCTGAATTTGATTTTACCAGTTGGTAAAAATCAACCAGACATCAGAGGCTGAGCACTAACAACAAACGTAGTGATAGATGCAGTAGTATGCTGTTGTTTTAGCATCTGTAGGTGTTGGACGGTTACTATTAGAAACCATGCTGCAGTGTTTGGATGCAAGAGTGCTTAACTCATTATTATTTGCCTTGAATTGATAATAATAGTCATTGTATTTCTGCACAACAGTGAAGAAATCCTCGAAGTATTGCAATTTGCAACCGGATGATGGTTTATGTTTATGTTTATGTGTTTAGCGACGCTTTTGTCCAAAGCGACTCCCAAGTGATAATCGGCATGTTGCCCTTGAGGCTAACAACAACAACAATAACAACAACTTGACATCAATCATGGAGAGGAGGGAACAAGGAGTGGACAGTAGAGAGGGGGACGGGTGCAGGGAGGGTGCTAGTTTAGAAGATGCTCTCTGAAGAGCAGGGTCTTCAGGAGTTTCTTGAAAATTGAAAAGGAAGCTCCTGTTCTGGTAGTGCTTGGAAGGTCATTCCACATTTGTGGAACGATGCATGAGAAGAGTCTGGATTGTCCTGAGCGTGGTGTAGGCACTGCTAGCCGACCATCCTGTGATGAGCGGAGCGGCCGGGCCGAGACGTAAGCCTTTGCAAGAGGATTCAGGTAGATGGGAGCCGTACCATCTCGGACTTTGTATGCTAGTGTTAGCAATTTGAATTTGATGCGTGCTGCTAGCGGTAGCCAGTGGAGCTCAATGAACAGAGGGGTGACGTGTGCTCTTTTTGGCTGATTGAAGACCAGACGCGCCGCTGCGTTCTGGACCATTTGAAGAGGTCTCCCAGTACAGCCTGGAAGACCAGTTAGAAGGGCGTTGCAGTAATGGAGGCGGGAGATGACAGTAGATTGCACCAGGAGCTGGGTGGCATGTTGTGTTAGGTATGATCTGATCTTTCGTATGTTATACAGCGCAAAGCGGCATGAACGAGCAACAGAGGCAACATGATCTTTAAAGGTCAGGTGTTCATCAATCACAACACCCAGATTTCCAACTGCCTTTGAAGGAGCCAGAGATAGGAAGTCATTCTGGATTGAGATATTGTGCTGTATGGATGGTCCGAAATTAACACTCGCCACTCGCCAAATGCGAGTAAATTGCTCCATTTGGCGAGTAAATTTTTGAGCTCTACCTGCCACCTGGCGAGTAAATGTTTGCACCAAATTAGTTATGTTTATCAGTCATCTTCCACGGATTTCTGAAACTCCTCCCGCCTGCATGCAACGTACACAAATGTACGCGAAACATGAACGCCGCATCCAACGTCATTTCCACCTATCCCGTTCAATCAGTTTATCAAGTTAGCCGTTAGCTTCGTGTTAAAACTAGCGGTGAAATGTGGCGGTTTTTTAACTGGAGTCAGCCAGCCTTCCAAATGAAAACTCGTCGAACTGGAAGAAAAACCACCAGGACCAGTGGCAACCAGAAGATTTTGTGAAAAGTGACGAACTGGAGATGGCGGAGTCGTGAGACAATGGCTACATTATGATGGCCACGTAGCGTTGCTGCGTTTCACAGACAACTGTCCCTCGGCATTCTTCAAATATCCAATAAATGCCAATACTTCCGACTTTGTCTTCTTTGAGGGATAATAAATGTCCCGAGCGCTGCCGTCTCCTCCTGCCATTATTTCAGCTTTAACTTAAAGAAAGTTTTGGTCGTAAACAAAGTGCGCATGTGCCGCCGGCAACTTCTAGCAGATGATACGGTGGCTGGTAAGGGTCACCGCGCCTACACCGCAGCCACGGTAATCCACCGAGATAATATATATATATATATATTTTTTTTAAACAAGACTGTTATTATTTATTGTCAACTTTTTTACCGGGGTTTACCGCTACACCGGTTTCCATGACAACCCTAGCCCTGACACACTTTCAGATATTCTCATGGTGCAGCTGTGTTCTCCAGAGATCAAGGACTAAGACCCAAATGAGGCTGTAATGCTTTGGCACAAAGACGGTGTCAGAAGCAGGAGGCCAGACTTCATGGACAGAGAAAACAAGGAGTCTGACTAGATTTCAATGAAAGAGTTCATAAAAACATCTCTAAAAATAAATAAATAAATAGTAAAAATGACAAAAAAGTTGTTTTCCTTATTAACTGATGTTTTAATTATTTTGTCACTCTGTTTGGAATCAACATAATATGGAATAACATGCTTTAGGTAGATCTAAATCATTTAGAATTTTGGCCGGTAGATTTTCATCATCTACCGGCCAACTTGGCCGGTGAGTACAAAATTTAATTTTGGACCCTGGCTGTATGGATGGTTGAGTTGGCTCAGATCTTTGTTCCAAAATCAGGAATCATGGAATGCTGCAAATGTATTCAGAAAGGGACGTTGGACCTCTTATGTTATGTGGACTTAAACTTTATTATTATTGGGCTGCAGGTCTCTATTTGGTCATGACCTGGACTTTAACTAGTGGCCCTAGTGGAATGTGATTGGATGAAAGAATACATAAAATAAGGTAATATTTCAAATAAAACTGAGAGCACAAGAAGTTCCATTCGTTCTTCTGGTTGTGAACCCACAGCCATCCACGGTCTGGGGTTGGATTCCTCTTCCAGCCTCGTCGGCTAAAAGGTCTCAGAGCCTCGCCTGTTCTAATATTTGTTTTCATAAATGGATTTTGCTGCGGTCTGATTTTCCCACAAAATTAACAGTGGTCAGAGAAAAGATAAACCACTGATGAACCGCAGCGTCAACTCCACTTAGGATCCATGTTATGAAACAGAATTATTCAAATACGGCGAGCCAGGATTCAACAGGAAGCGAAGGAACCAGGCGGGGAAGAGGTGAAAGAGCAGAAAGGAGAGAGCAGGTTTAAGTGGAAACAGAACGAGGCTGCAGCCGTGAGCTCACATGAAACGTGATGCAGCTCAGGAATATTCACAGCGCCGTGATGATCAATCCTGGTGCGTGGTTCAGCGCCAGAGGAAATGGCCACGGCCCTCTGTCTGTCTGGAGTATGACTCTATATTTCCTCCCAGTGTTGGCTGAAGGCCCGCAGCAGAAATGAGAAACACTGAGACAATTGTGCTCTGCAAAGTCTTGGGGGGGCGGGGGGGCATGCTGGTATCCAGCGCTGCTTAAGGCTAAACACAGATTCACAACACACCAGGCCGAAAAGATTTACACACCGAGTGAAGAGGGAGACGGTTACATGCTGTAGCCAAGGCAAACCCACACTCGTGTTTATGGACATTTTTTCTCTTGCAGACCGCAAGTCTTCCGGCGGTGGCTTTGGATGGGGCCATGAATGTGTGAGTGTGTGTGGGTGAGTCCCCCTTTCTTTCTTTTCCACTATAATTTTTACTCTAATCAGTATTTAAATTGTAATTGCACATTTAGATTTTTTTTAGGGTTCTGAAGTTTAGCTACGGTGCAATTTTGGTGAAGGACAAGCTAATTACAAATTAGCTATTGACTAATATGCATGCTGTGGTGCAGGTTTGTGAGGTAGGATGTCACTCACAGACATAAAACACCAATTACCATTCTGTGTACATTTGTTTTAGTGGCTATGCTGGAGTTATACGGTGTTAATTTCTTTTGAACAGTGTTGGGAAACTCCACCTGTCAAAAGTGCGGCCAATATGGAAGTGACAAAAATCGCAGTTCCCCTGTCATCCACTAGGGGCTGCCTCTAGAAAGGAGCAAGATCTCAATCTTAGAATCCCATTGATCCCGTGTTAGAAATGCCAAACTTTACAGCACCTGGTAAAAAAAACACAGGGTGGCCGAGCTCTCCCTTAGAGATAGGGTGAGAAGCTCTGTCATCTGGGAGGGGCTCGGAGTAGACCCGCTGCTCCTTCCCATCGACAGGAGCCAGTTGAGGTGGCTCGGGCATCTGGTCAGGATGCCTCCTGGACGCCTCCCTGGTGAGGTTTTCCGGTCATGTCCAACCGGGAGGAGGCCTAAAGGAAGACCCAGGACACGGTTGAGGGACTATGTCTCTCACCTGGCCAGGGAACGCCTTGGGATTCCCCCGGAGGAGCTGGTCCAACTAGCTGGGGAGAGGGAAGTCTGGGCCTCCCGCCTTAGGCTACTGCCCCGTGACCCGACTCCGGATGAGCGGATGAAAATGGATGGATGGATATCTAGTAACTGTAACTAGTTATTTTTTTCAGTAACTACCACAACACTGATATTGAATGCAAGCAGAAAAAAGATCTCATCTGTTCTGTAAGTCTCTTCAGAAGTATTTTTATTTTGAGAATTCATAAATGTGGAAGTAAAAAACTACTTTTGCAGGGTTTCTATAATGGATGGTGACCAAATCAGAATCAGGAGGGTTTATAGCGACACGTGCGAGAAATCACAGCACAAGGAAATTGTTGCGGTACTTGGTGCAAAAAAATAACGATGTGCAATAATTAGAAATAAGCACAATAAAATAATAATAATATAGGGATGCAACAATTAGAGCAAATGATTCAAACTCATCTGAAATGAAAAAAGGGAAAACATCACCTTCTCTTTGTGTTGGGTAGCTCGGAGTCATACATGTGGGCCAAAAACCTCGTTTCCGTTTCCAGTTAAAGGTCGTTTGAAGTTGCAAAACTTGTAATTTTCCCTGAAGCCAGAGCAGAAACTGTGATGTTGCATCTTTTCCAGCTCAGCCTTAAATCCATGAATCCCAGAGTATTAAAAAGTTATTCATGCAAATGTGATCCTGGTGATGGCCGAAGCACAAGGATGTCATGTTTTCATGCATTGTAGTGTTGTTGCAGACGGCCAGCTGCTAGTGGTTTGGTCGGCCATGGGAAATCTCTCCCCCCCCCCCCCCATTAGCTTGTCTCCTGCCCTTAGTCTTCTCTCTTATCTTCTGGCCAAGCCTGCTGAGGAAGTGGTCCTCTGCCAAATGGAGAGAAACATTTCTTCATGAATGGAGCTATAGATAAAATCTTCCCCCGATACCCCAGAGCGCAGCCCCACTCCCTCGGTGCTTCCCTGAACTATCAGGACGAGATTCAGGCCTTCCAGCCACTAAAGCATTTTCATTTAGATACAATTAGAGCAGCTCGGGGTCAGCTGAAGCCCATGGGAGCAGATGCCTTGCAAGACAGGCATTTCTCTAGATTTCTGACATAAAATCAGCTCCTTGCATTTGTATCTCAGTCGGCTGCTCAGGAAGAGAACAACATGGGACAAACTGATTTAGCAGTCAAGCTAGATTTAATTATTTAGCTTGTGTTTGGGAATGAAAGCAGGCGTTTTAAAAATGTAACCAACATTTTAGTCACACCTGGTTTTTCTCTTCATGAAGTGACTTTTTTCTGGTGTGTAAAGTGTAATTCAGCTCATTTTCTCACTTGCCTCAGCTCCTTCCACATCACAACTAAAGCCTGTTTAACACCGAAGGCGGAACGGATCCGGACTCCGTTCGGATTCTGCACCGGTGCATTCACACCGGCTGTGGTGTGGTGCAGATCCGGAAGTCGACGTGGAGCTCCAGAAAGTTTCCGCTTAGAGTCTATTTTTTTCTGGACGCCACACGCAGATCGTCATGAAGTTTGAAAACTTACATTAGCCAGAGCCAGACAGGAAGTGAGACACAAAATAAAACCTGTGTTGCATCATCTTTTATCAGAGGAAAGAGCATTTATCTTCACCGTGCATGATAGTGCACGTTATCTTTACAGGTATGTCTTCAAATGTATTGTGTCAAATCATCTTGAGCACTTTTGGGAGTAAATGGTGACATTCAGCACACGAACCAGAGCCCGTGTGAACGGAAGTCTGGAAGCTGCACGTGAAACTGGACCACACGGTTTCTACACTTGATGTGAACAAAGCTCAAGTATTAAAGATTATTGGTCAGGAGGAAGATGGCACCATTGAGAGGTGGGGTAACCAGGGAAAGTTGTTAAGCATCTTTTCATTTAAAGAGCAAGTCACCCCCAAATCAACTTTTTTTTCCTGATAAACGATATAAATGTGTGTCTAATCGTGCTGCAGACACGTGTAGTCAATAGTTTTGCACTTTAGTGCGTTTTAGTTAAAATTTAAATTTTCTGCCCGAAACTGTCAGTGTTGTGCCGTTGTCAGGTAAAAACTCTGCACTGCATTTGAATTTAAATCTGCCATCGCTATTGGCTAAGAGGTACCCTAGAACGTTAGCTGCAGTGCTTCATTTAAGCCAGATCTTATCAGAACAAGATCCAGGAATTATCTTATTTTGAAAGGACCGGTCCGGCAACTGTCTGCTAGGATCCAGCAACTCATGAGACAAACTTGTGCTATATGCAGGATGCGAATTACGGGTGAGCTAGGGAGCTCCTGGAAGCCCTCAACACACCCAGGAGGAGCCCGAAACGATCCTGGTTCTACTTGTATTACATTATCCATCTGCACTCTGCTGGGATTATTTAGAGCTGAGAGGCGCAGAGCTCTGATCGTTGACGCCTCCAGACATCTGCGTCCTGAGCACGGCCACAGTAACATTATCAATCAGGTGTCGCCACCTCAAAAACTAATTCAACACGCGATCGTTCATGTCGGCTCATTTCCTTTTATGTTTTCTGTCTTTTATTCTTTTACTTGTGCCTGATGCGTTTTACTGCTGCGGTGCAGAGCGCATCACCTGTTTCGTCCTCCAGTGATTTCACCTCACCGGTGCGGTCAGCGCACACTCCCCTGTTTCTGCGGTCGGTAGATCTTTTAGAACTGCAGTTCAAAGGTAACTCATGAGGTGAATATATATGAACCCAGGTAGCAGTTTCTCTTTAGGACTGAGAGGAGATGCAGGAAGATAATAAACAGGCAGGACAGAGAAATAGTCAAATAAAAACAAGTTAGTTTTTGTACCTGCTGGTTGCAACAAACAGACACCATTGAAGGTCATCAGAAGTGAGGAACAGAAAATGAAATAATTATTTTAATGTTTAGAGCAGCAGGAACTCCGAGAGGCTGCAGGTGCATCAGTGAGTTTGCGGCCGCTGGAATTCTGAAACCGTCCCAGGCCACCGCCCAATTCACGCTAAACACTAAAAGTGGGTCAGGTTGGGCGCCTACTGATGTAAAAGTGTAAAACAACTACATTAAAACTTCACACGTGTCCTGATTCTTTCCTCTAAGATATAAATATTTGTGTTCTGCTGCTATCATCGGTGCTTATGTTGCATAAACTGAAATTCTATTTTATTCTGTTAATGTGCCTCCTGCACATCAGATGAAATAGGCCAGACCCCATCATCCACCTGAACTACAGGTGCCAGACTACATGTCTGGGTCAAGAGTTTCACACCACAGGCAGAGACATAAAACAGTGTGTGTGTGTGTGTGTGTGTGTGTGCGCGTGCGTGCGTGTGTGTGTGTGTGTGTGTGCGCGCGTGTGTGTGTGTGTGTGCATGGCGGGTGTTGTTGGGAGGGTCTCACCATTGCTAAATGGTGCATCATTAGTGTCATGTAGGTCTACTATAGTAGCATAAACTAAATGGACAGCCTCAACAGTGGAAGAAGCCTTTTGCTGATGCACACGTCTCTGACGTCCATATAAACTGACAGACCAGTATATATGGATGTTTCCCTCATAATATTCATATAAACACCAATAATAATACTAGGGGTTTAAAGGCTATAAACCAAAGACAATAAGCCAGTGGTGAAGGTTTATGCATTTAACAAGAAATGTGATAAATGTAACGTCCAGCAACGGTCAGTTTCAGGTACAGTTTGACCATCCAACATCTGGTCAGAGAGGAGACACGAGACTGCACGTGTTCCCTTTAAATTGGCCTGCCTTCATCCCACCAGCTGGAGCTCAGAGCCTTTGCAGCTCTGAACACGATAACGGATTGTCAACAATAACGTTCTCTCCTCAAGGTCCATCCTTATCGTCCTACAGGACTCTTCTTGCCTAACACTCGCAGCTCGGATCAGCTGCTAAATCAAAGAATGATTTCCTAAATTAAATATGAACTTCTGAAACTTATAAGCTAGATAATCATTAAATAAATGTTTGTTTATGGCTACTTATAATAATTATAGTGTAATGAAATGTTTCATTAATCTGTGCTCAATGACTGAAGTGTGAAATGAATGTTATCTTATGATTGATTACATTGATTGAAACATGTGTCAGCATGTTGATATGACGAGGTCGTCACCATTTGCACTCACACAAGGACAAAGTCAGGTTAAGTTAGACTCTGACACACAGATAGTCCTTTACCCAGATCAGAGCCTCGGGAGGCGTGTTTCTGAGACTCTTAGTAACATTCCTCAAACTTGTCAACCTCTGGTTGGCTACACAAATCATAACATGAGAACATTAAAACTGGATCACTCTGGTGATTCAGCAGTTCTAGAGAAAGCTTCAGACCGGCCACCTGAAGCAAAACCTCTTTAACCATCAAAGCTTTTGATATGCCGTCAAAATCTTTTTGTACCTGAGAAGCTGACACCGCAACGGTTCCTGCAGAACAAGCTGATGTCGTTTAGACTCCTTCAGAGTCCCAGACGCGCGGTTCCATCCGTCTGTTGTGACCTGGAGACAACTCTAAGACCGGTTTAGTGGGGCCGCAGTTTCTTCTACGGACCTCGGCGCCTGGAAGTCCGAGGACTTCGACATTCCGGATCTATCACGAGGGTCTTCGAGTGGGTATGTAGACACACAGATGGCGTCTGATGTGCTTTTGATAATAATTAATGCAACCCAAATTCTTCAACATCCAGAACTCGGCTCTCCTGGATACGGAAGTTCTGATAACACCACATTCACACACAGGTTCATACATCACATCTAGTTCCACCCATCACAGTAAATGTTAGTTAACCTGTCATGTTTTAATTGTTGGTAAAATAAATTCTTACTTTCATACACCTGACCCTAACCCTGGATCCAAACCAAGTGTGTACATCCCCTAATAAATAAAGAATCCTAAAATCTTCTGATTAAAGCCCAATAAAGACCAGGCAGGCTGATATTCTATATCTAGATAGAGTATCACAGCTTATTGGTCATAAGTAGAGGTAATATATATAGAGAGCTCTTAAAGCACTTAATTTACCAAACCCTACATAAATGATCATCAGGGTTGATGTGAAATCTAATCCAGATCAGTCCAGGCCAGAATCATCATCCGTCTCATGATCAGCAGCAGCTGGATGTTCATGGCCACAACATTTTAAGTGAAGCACGCTCCTTTTGTCTTGTGTTTGCTCACGATCCACATTTCCATTTAGAAACCGTTTCTCCTCCATGGATCTACCTGCCTGTCAGAGCGTTTAACCACTATGTGGTCAGCTGATGCTGCTGTCAGTCATCGCAGGAATGTGTTAGGTGTGGGGAAACAGTTTTACTTTCTCTCCTCTGCCTGAGCTGATGGTGACGAGCGGCGCGCCTCGCGGCAGTGATGCGCCTTTTGCGCAAAATGCGGCCCTTCATGGAGCTCCTGACTGATGTTAGAGGACACACAGATAGCTTTTCAAAAATCTCTGAGATTTCGACCAATGAATACCTGGAAATTTTACTGGTATGCACCGTACCCGAGGAAAAGTACTGACATGCTGAAAGGTTATTTTTAGAAGTGGCGGCGGTGCTGGTACCGGTCCAATGCACTGCTCTCTGTCCCTAAAGGAGGAGTCTGATGATCCGTTCCTGACAGCCACAGTTTCTCCCTCCCCAACCCACCCCACGTGCCCGGCATTGCGCGCTGCGCGATAATTAAACTGGCCCAAAAAAATCCACCTTAAACCGGTTCTCCCAACATGACCACATAGCAGCCAGCCTGGACATGCACCTGTGGCCAGAGCTTTCTTCTTTTTCAATCTCTCCTTTTCTACTCCACCTTTCCTGCTCCATCTAGGTCCATTTAGCCTCTGGGGCCAAAGGTGCGGTGGTGCTAGCTGCTCTGGGGTGGGGGGGTGTCTGCAGCGCTTTGCCAGACCCCGACAAAGTGAGAGGAGGGGGTGTCTTTGTGCCCAGTTAGCTCCGTTTGTGCGAGCAGCAGGACAGCAGATGCCCCAAGCTGCATGACGGATTGCTCGTTTAGATATGACGCACGTCGTGACCGGCAATCACTGAACAGGCCAGTTTAACGGCCAGGCCACCAGGAAGTCTCCCGTTCCTCCCGATTACCAGTCCACCACTGAAGAGATGTGTGTTAACTTAGAAAATGTGGGCGCAATTTTAATTACTTATCCCCCCCCCCCCCCCCCCCCCCACCCCACCCCGCCCCACCCCGTGTGTGTTCCGGCATCTGTTTGGCGTTTAGTGAACTTTGGTTTGACGTCAGTATTTGCGTTCCGGGAACGTTTGATTTACAAATTAAGCACCGGTTAGCTGGTACCATATGATGTCACAATGTCATTGTGAGCCTGTGTGTGTGTGTGTGTGTGTGTGTGTGTGTGTTTGTTAGCGACTCCGCCCTCTCGGTCTGCTAGGCAACAGCATTTGTTGCATTTTTCAAACAGGAAGTGGGAGTGGAGTAATACTCTGGTAGGGGGTGACTTGCTCTTTAAGTAAAACCTGGAGGCAGAAACATCACTGGATTTATTTGCTGTAGGATTTATTGGATTGAGATCAGAGCTGGGTAGTCCTTTATAGATTTAGGGTACATGTCCAACATCATTAAAAACAACCCACGCTCCATGCAAACAGCTGCTCCGTTTACCACGTCATGTAACACAGAAGGTGGTCCAAAGAAACCAAAACTAAGAGATAAAAGTTGTCCGTCTTTTCCATCAGGGTCTGTTTTCCAGCTGCTCTTCACTAACAATACAAAGATGGAGGTTATTAAAAATGTCTTGGACCAAACCCCTTCAGGTTTTTACTGCAGGCCTCCTAAAGCTTGTCTCCATTGTTTAATATCCGCCTCTCCTGTTTGTATGAGTAACCCCAGCTTTCCACTGGAGCCGTCAGCAGCGCGAGTCGGCCGCGTCTCAGGAGCCTTTATGCGCCGGTTCTATTTCCTACGCACGACGCCTCTGAAACGGGTCAAGTTCGACATTTTTGAGGAAGGAAAGACAGGAAATCGGACGCGGAAATGGAGAGAAGCTCCCGAGATTTTCAGAATAAAGAACGTACTGCTTTCCGGTTGCTTTACTTTAAAAAAGGTTACTAACTGTGCGTCCTCGTAAGAAGTTATCACCTAGCTAGCGGTCTCCTTTGTTTTTCAGGTCCGTATTGGCGATTATAAAACGGACAGAACATAAAACACAAACCATGTTGTAGTTTTCTCCTGCTTGTTGTTGTGTTTACTGACGAAGTCACTCGTGTGACTTCATGCTCGGTCGGTGACAGCTGCTCCCCTGCTGCTTCGCGTCTCGTGGGAAGGGCCAAGCAGCAGCTTACGCGAGCAAGACGTGCTGCTGCAGTAACGTGCTGCTGACGGCTCCGGTGGAAACCCGGGGTAAGATTTCAGTTTGCCTCGGTGAATGTTTGTGTGCGCCCAGCGAACTGTAGGGGACATGATTGTCAAAAATAAAGGACTTTCACTTGCCAGGTGTATTCAAAGTTACATTTTAGGCCTCAGAAGCTGAAATAGAGTAAGCAACACTTTAATACACAACAGTAAATACACTGTCGTCAGCTGGAGCCACCCTAAAAACATTCATGGCTAGAAGGCAAATGAAGGAATAACTATTTGGAATATCAGTCAGGTGTTTATCAGTTTTTCCTGATCTGACTTCAGTTTGCTGTTTATTTTCAGGTACAGGTAAATAGTACTGTAAGGACTATTGAGTGTGATCTGTTTGAAAACGTTCCTCCTTACAGAGTATAGAGAAATTGGTTGTGTTGATTGGCTTGCTGTGACCAGAGGCCATGACACATAAAATCAGTCCGAGGATGGACCAAAACCGTCCTTGGATCAGATAGAAAAGACTGAACTGTGATTGGCTGTATTGTTATAAGAAAAACAGGGATTGTTTGATCTTCCTTTGCTCATGTGGAGGAGCGACCTGGAGCTCAAGTTACCCTCTCAGCTTTTAAACACAACGCTGCTTTTTGAAGTACAGCTGCATTAAATGCTGGTGGCTTAACAACAGTTGAAGGTTCTTAAACACGTCGATAGGATCTGTTCAGTGTGTGCTCTCCTTCAACGTGGCGCTCCGTGACATCGTGTAAATTCCTCGGATGGTGCATCATTCAGTACTGTCGGCTCACATCGTTCCAGAGAGGACAAGTTCCTGATATCACAAGTGTGAACCTGTTGATTTGTTTTTGCTGCACAGCCAAGGAGTTGCTAGGAGCTTTTTTAGTCAGCAATTAATTTCAGCTCCGGCCAAGGTTGGGCGCGACGGCCCAAAAGACCGGAGGGCTTGACATGCAGCCAAAGGTGTGTGTGTGTGTGTGTGTGTGTGTGTGTGTGTGTGTGAGAGAGAGAGAGAGAGAGAGAGAGAGAAAGAGAGAAAAGAATGAGAGGAAAACAAATGGAGAGAGGGAACGTGAGCACGGGGAAGATTCCTTCAGCATGCTTTATTTTTATGGCTGACAAACCACAGAAAACAAACAAAAAGCACGTAAACTGCTCACGGACCTCCCTTTCAAACCCCAAATCCTAGAAGGAGATGCAAGAAACGAGCGTACTTGAAAACATGCAACAGCCCCAGCCACCAGCTACTAAATATATAGAGATTATGCAACAATGAAGTTTAAAACTCTGCTTTATCACCACGTTCAGTCATCTCGAGCTCAAAAGAATTAGCTGTGGTTTGACTGTCTCCAGTTCAGCCGTTAAGCAACTTTCATCATCATTGTGCAACACGTTGTTTCGCACCACCGAAGTCTCAACTACACAAAGTGGCTTTAAAGGGACTTTACGGAGTTTTGAATTTTTATGCTCGTGATCGCCCCCTCAGGCCAAAAGCGTAACAGCAGCTTCATTAGTAGGCTCGTGCACGAGGCGCGCATGCCGTACGTGCACACTCTTTAATGAAAATAACAGCTGAGACAGTCAGCTGTGTGTGTGTGTGTGTGTGTGTGTGTGTGTGTGTGTGTGTGTGTGTGTGTGTGTGTGTGTGTGTGTGTGTGTGTGTGTGTGTGCGCGTGCGCGTGCGTGTGTGCGTGCGTGCGTGCGTGTGTGTGGCCCGGAGGACAGAGGACAGGAGAACACGCAGCTAATTAATTAAATAATGTGGTTCTGTAGCTTTCTCTTCAGCACAGCCGACAAAGGTTTATGATGGGTCAGTCCTCCTGCATGCTCAGATCATTCCCTTCCCTTGCTTGAAAAATTGTTCCAAAATGAAAGTTGAACCCACATCTTTTTTATCTGTGAATTCAATGCCGTTCGGCGAGTCTCAAATAAAAAATTGGGCATCTTACTGTAAAAAAATATACTATTAATGTAAAAAAGAAACTCTAAATAAACTATGTTCACATCCAGAATCAAACCCAGGTCTTCAGCATGAGAGTCCGACGTCTTACCAGGTGAGCTAATGCACCAGTGACATCACTTGTATCTGTACCATTTAAGAACGGTTCGGAGGGCGATGCCTGAGCGTGAACGCGCATGAAGCAGCCTGCTCGACCCGAGCATCTCTCTTTTTCTGTGATTTTACAGAAAAACAGGCAATCACAGTAAAAATGCCAGGGCTCATGCTACAGGACCAGGGCATTGCAGGAGAATGTATGAAGAAGACATTTATTATTTCTATACATGTTTTGGCTCTCAAACTTCCATAATGCCCCTTTAAATACTGTAAAGAATCTCACTAGAATAAACATGAATATACACTTTTGTGTTTTCCCCCAGTCTCCTCTTCTTTACGTCCGATTCGCTGGAATCATTAACTCCGCTGTAACTTTAAAGACTCCGTCAACATCTGGACCCAATAAAGATCTGCGTGCTCATAATTGGCCCTGACCCCTTATTTTGAGAGGTCATTGGTCAGACGAGGTTGGGTAGTTTAGGAACAGGAAAATTAACTTCCTGTTATTCGATGATAATGACCACATTAGGTGCAAAGTGAACTGAAGGTCGTTAGCAAAGATATCATAAACAAACAGCTGCTTGGGTTGTTTGCATTAAGAAACACGCTGAAACGACTCTAAATGGAGTAAACGTGGGAATCCTTGTGTGTAAAGTCAAGTTGCTGCTTAGGTTGATATTTTTGCGCCTTTCTCAGAGTCATTAACACAGTTTTAGAGGTGCACCAGCACCCTTTCTAATGTGAACATAAAACATTATGGTCTCTCTGAGAAGCGTAAACCTGGATTTGAGCCTTCTTCCAGCATTCGTCCACCTCCCCAATCCTTTCATTCTCACTAGTTGGCAGCTTGTTGCTCTCGCATCTAAAAACACAAACGTTGACTGTAATCTTTGAAGCTTTATGCCGCCCGCAGTGATTGGAAAACGTCTCACTTAGGCGACTGGTCCCGTACGCAGAAGGAAAAGGCTCGAGGCTCGGCACTAACTAACTCCATATGCTACGAGTCTGGACATCCAACTGACTTCTAAGACTGTTGCAGACGGGTTCAACATAAACTTTGCATCTCTTCTGAACGGGGCCACGGGCAAATTACACCCCCTCCAATGCTCTAAGAGGAAGCATCTGCGCCCCATCACTCTCAATATTCATCCCTCTCTGCACCAAAACCGGATCAAAAGGCTTGTTTCCACTATCAGAAAGTCCGGGTTATTTTACTGAACCTTCGCAGCCCAAAAGCTCCGCGTTCCGGGCCATTTCAGGGACCAATCAACCATCTTGACTGGGGTTTGTTCTTGGAAATGGCCCGGTAGAGTCGCTGGGCGGGACTTGTGGTTAACTCTTTCTGATTGGTTTTAAGTCAGTGAAAAACAATTTCTGCAGACGTCACCAAATAACTGACATTTGTAAAACTGGAAGAGTTGCTGATGAAGCAGAATGGAAGAAAAAGAAAACAAGCAGCATTCAAGATGTTTTAAAATTTTAGGTGTGTTCACGCTGTGTCGTGGTTCCGATTCCATGCTGTCGTTCTTTTTTTAAACACAGAAACAGTTTCGTTACCTGTTTTCCTGCGACGTTTCGGCTGCAGACTTCCTCAGGCTGACGCTGATGGTGGCGTCACTTCCTTCTCCGTTTATCCGCTCTCCCCTCCAAGCAGAAAGCACAATAAAGAAGTCAGCCGTAACAGATCACTGCACAAGAGAAAACCATGTAATGGACTGGGACAACACAAGGATCATAAACACCGAACAACAGAAATACAAAAGATGGATAA